AAAGTATATCTTAGGATTCAATTTTGCGTATATACCAAATTTTTTTAGACTATCTATGCTGTTTTTTATTGTTCTATTTGTTTATGTTATATCATGGTTGTACGCCGGAGATAGACATGTTTTTTTGATATATTTTCCACTGGAATAGATTATACTATTATTGGTGGACACTAGGTCGCCTGCGCACTTGCATAACCACTCATCTGCAAAAAGTTTCAGTTTGTGCACTTGTTCGGTTGGATGCATGCATATAATTTAGTCTGCGCAATTCCATAACTGCAATTCTTGCTTTTGTGATAATTTGCACACTCGCAAATTTGAACACCGACACATCCACATGAACACGAGTGCGATCCTGAACTTTTGCTCAACTTTTCGTCCAAACGAACCAATCGAGCTAGATCGAATTGCGTGCGTGTAGCTTGGATAACTTCGACTGCTTTTATACCGGGCCTTGTTCGCAGCGAAAGTCAGCCTAAAATTACCATCCTTATGGTTTGCAGGTGTGTAATGTGTAATGAATACACATGGTGAACAGGTCTGCGGACCTGACTTATAGTGAAACAAGAATTAAGTAGATGTGGATGTATGAAGGAATATGGACGTTCAGGAGTGTTGACGTGAGTTATACAAGAGCGCATATAAGCAACATAACAGAAGTATGCAGCAAGCACGTAAGGCGTCTTGGGTTCACAGATGATACTCTGTGCAGTTGTGCACGTGTACTGACACTTGACAGGTCAAGCAGGTTGGCCAATGTCTGAATGTCATGGTACACAGGTGTGTAAGTAAATTGACATCCGCAACGGGCCACTCGGACTTGCACAGATGCTCACACGCAATCCACATTTGGGCGTCTTGCTGAATTTTCTCTTTTACGTAGCTACACATACACATGCTTGCAAAATTCCATATCTGATCAACACCTACACGCGTTCAAATCCGAATACTCATAGAACTGAGTACCAACATATCTGTATGAACACGGCAACAAGTCTGATCCTCCGCATTTGACTGGAGGACACGAGCATTGTCGCCGCATCTCCCGTCAAAAGCAACAGCGTTTTTTTAATGTAAATAAAAAATTCGCGTTATTGACTAGGGTTATTTTAAGGGGAGGACTTATATTAAAATCATATTTCAAATTCAGGCTAGGTCTTATTTTCAGGGAAACACGGTATTCGGTTATAATTACATTACGCGCTGCATACTGATTGGTAATTTGCCGAAGTGAAGGAGTTGAAATGGACAATGCACGCCAGGTTGCAGGACAGTTGTTGAAACACCGTTTTGCTGAATGGTGCGGTTCAAGTTGTATTTCGTTTCTGGAGCATGCTTTACTGTTGCATGTTATACTACTGGCATAGCAATGCTATGTGATTATAGCGTGTCAAGACCTTTCGAGTATTCGATTCAGGCCGTATCTTCTAATCGGTTCAACGTCGTTTTCAAATATTTTGATACTATTTATATTTTTACTCAACTACGGACGAGAGGATTGTGATTGTGTTGTGTGTGATGTCATGGCAATGTATGTTCCTCCAAGCATCGGCTTAGTTCCGTAACATTGGCTAATCAACAAGATGTCGAAGGTGACGTAAAGACTGTTCAGACATATTTTTTCACCCAGGAAGATATTCAGACACGGTGATAAACATTCACTTTCCTTCATGGTATTGTAAGCTATTTGTCAGTTTTTAAGTTGTGTTTGCGAAATTTAGATATAAATCAGATAACCTAATGGTAGTTTACCGAAGAGTTTTAGTTTAGTTAAACTTAGAGTGATAAAATCTTTGTCCAGGAAAATCTGCGTCACATAATGGTTAACATAATAATGGTTATAAACATGAAGACTAGTTTATAAGTGCCAACTCACGAAAACATAAAATAAGCTTCATATTCTTTGCAATGGTGAAATAGTTTTTTTTTAATCCTGGTGCCAACAGTCGGGAAACATCCATGCAGACAGCGCTATTTTCATTGAAGAATAATCACATGCCTGAGGACCACAACCATGGTTGCTTGAGGTTGAATATATATATGTCGGTTACTAAATTTCCCACGAATCGTTATTCTGCCAAGCTTTAAACATACAGCCTTACATTGTAACTCTCGCACTGAATTGCTACGAACCACTTCCGATTTAGAGTCTTTATTCTCTACAACCTAAAGCCCAATTAAAAATGCTAATTTTCCTTACAATAAAGTTTGTTAAGACTTTATACATAGGAATTTTCTATTGGCATAGAAGCCAAGACCCCCGAAAACACTCTTTACACCTCCCTGGCGTTAAATTATGACGACCGGTGATAATCAGCAATTAAAATAGAACTCTTAATACAAAAAACGCACCAGAGTTTATATACCACCATAAATGCAAATTTTACGGTTGTTTCGATACGATAGACGCGAGAACGGGATATATTTTTCTGAAATTTCACTTTGCAAACATCATTCTATTGGAGGGCCAACGCACAGAAGTTTAAAACAACAGAAAATCGTAATGTAATTCCATTCCGTAGCAGAGTATTACAACAGTAAAGTTGTTGTTGTTATATGTTTTATGGCGCTTATAACATCAGTTGTCTTTTGCGACATTAATCAGTTCGAATTGAAAGTTTGATACTCACATATTATACAATATTTAAAAATGAATAGATATACGAATAAATCAATTATGGTAAATAATTAATCCTGAATATTTCTGCCCGTAGGCAAAACAAATGCTATTGCAGTTTCAGCCATGTCCGTGAAATTAAGCCCTAGCTCCAAAGTCAGTTCCAATTAAAGTTATTTTGTGAATGACTGGAATTCTCTGATGATTATATTGCTGACAATGCAGTAAGACGTAAATAATGGGCTACGGTCTCAGATACAGGATACTGTTCGCAATATTCACCGGAGTTGCAATCAATTTTGAGTAAATAAGCATTCAGAGCGCCATGACTGGTTTGCTGGCGGAATAAAAAAAAACTTGATATATATTTACGCAATAAATTACCGTTTTCGAGTTGTGACATCACGGTGGGATGAAATCTTTTATTTGGCTTGGCAAGTAGCTACATATTATTCCGTATGCCGTAATTCTCGGACAAATGCATTAGAATAGAATTTTGCTTCTAAGGCGGCAAGTGGAAGCATTGCATCAATAGGAAGGAGGTTTGTTGGTTGTCCCCTTTGTCAGATTATCTACTATTTCGTTTCCGATAATTCCTCATTGAACTGATGATCATGGGAATGCAATTTGTATACCTTGTTTTTCGTTAACACTGAGGTTACAGTTGTTATTTTTGCAAATAATATGTTCTGAAATGATGAATAGTCAAGAAGCTTTGAAGGGGCAGTGAGACAATCCGGTATTATCAATACGCGTCGGGCCCTGATTGCGATCAATATGAGACAACTCAGTGTTGCGTATAGCTCCGACGTAAGTGAAAAGACATAACGATGAAATTTGGTTGGAGGCACATAATATGTAGCATCCCGGTCGAAAGTTTGTTTTATATACTTGTACATAGTCTTAATAGTTTTCGTGAACATGGCCAAGAAATGTCGATTGAAGTATTCTTGGTGAAAATGTTTTATCATAAATCGATAGCAATGTATCAATTATTGTTACCAATTATTTATCATCAATGAAGTTACACCATATTGACAGTTGTTTATAATTGACGACAAAAGAGAATGTCCACCTCAGTAGTTAGATCGTGGCTATAGCGGGCAAATACTGTTAGTTGGGAGAGGTTTGTTACATTCACTGACTGGATGAAAACCAGGATGAAGATTTGACCCGTATGATAAGTACATCTTTGATATTAAATACAGCATTTACAATGCTGAATTTATTAGTATTATAAAATGATGAGTCCTGCTTCCTCTTTGGCGTCACAAACTTGCCAATCAGAATACGATCCCTCTCTACCAGACATGGCTTTATCAATGTCTCATCGATGCTATTGAGATTTTTGGTCCTTGCTACCCATAGCGAAACTGTATAGAATGCAGACACTATCGCATTTTGTGGTTTTTGTTCGCAAAATGAGTCAACATCTAACCTTGAATTATGTTGATTCAGTTGATGGGTCTCAAGACAAACATGACATTGTAGCAACTGCTCATGATTTTCTCCGAATATGTGAATCGGTATTCGAAATGACTGTGATAGTATTTTATTTCACCTTTACCTCCTTTTGTTAAACATTAAAGTTTATCAGAAAGATATGTACGACGCCACGGACCAGTATATCTGTTCATTGGAGTGCGCCCAATATCAACAGGACGCCTGATTATAGAAAAGCGCTTTTTACTTGCGTTTGTTATCCACCAAGTGGGGAGTTACCCACCGTTTGGGAACCATTTCGCAATTTTGCGTTAATCTTTTATAAAAATCTCTGAATTCAGTTAGTTCCTCCCGTCAATCCTCTCACACATACGTACACATATACATACAATGCACAAACATCTCTGAACGCAAGCTATTCATTAACAAAATTGATAAGTTTCACAATGCTAAATCTAATATTTACACAATCATAATGCATAATGTATCCTTCAGCTTTTTCTTAAAAAGATTTAAAAACTGATTTCCTTCCACCGAAGAACCAATACCAGTTGCAAAGGCAAGGTTTATCAAAAAATCAATTAGTGCTTGTGATTCCAGTATTATTAGAATGGATTTCTATCAATAAAAGTATTCGGAGACCTTCGTATGCAGTATAGTGTCATATGAAGTAGATTATCGAAAGATACTTTAGTACAACTTTAATTGAGAAAAGTAAGCAAGGAAATAATATAAAGCACGCAGAGGACTAACCGCTTAATCAAAAATCTTTACCAACGAATCTGACAATAGAAGCACAATAGATTGTCTATGAAGATAATAAGGATTGTCTATTATTTTCCTGATGACTTGACTGTATTTCAAAATGACTTGCTCTTTACGTCAATGTTAAAACGGTAAATGCTAAACCATTAAAATCACAATATTAGCGTACTTTGCAAATATATTACAAATATACAGTATAGCATAAATTATGTTCATTTTCTACTGTTGATATCAGACCAGCACATAGTGTGTATATGTCAAAGCATTAAACATGTCGAGAAGAAGTTCAATTTACACGTACTGCAGAATTGCGCCCTCTGTAACATCGAATCACGAACTTTTGGCAACAGCTCCTCGCCGGCGTCAGACGGAGAGAAATAAACCTTTGGAATATGAGATAAGCCCAGTAGCTGGGAAACGACAGAATCGCAAATCCATACTAATCCGTAAGACCGACGGAGTAGAATCCCGTTTTGCTTTCAATGAAATATTCGAACAAGGGGAATCCCAGGAAAAAGTGTTCACGGTCATAGGTAAATCTGTTATAGAAAATGCTATTAGTGGATACAATAGTACTGTTCTTGCTTACGGACAGACTGCAACAGGCAAAACCTATACAATGGCGGGTGATGGGTATGCGAATGGTGAAAGTGAAACCGATGCAAAAGGTCTTATACCCAGAGGACTTGAATATATTTGGAGCGAATTGAAATCCTGCGGCTTGCGCTTCAGTATCAAGATTTCGTGCATGGAAATTTACAGAGAAAAAGCATACGATCTGTTAGACGTACAAACTCATGGGATCGACAAAAAAACTTTTGCTACGAAGAAAGAGGTAAATTGCAGAATGAATCGAAACGAAGTGCGGATGCAAAATCTTGCTGTAAGACAGGTAAAGTCACTCGAAGAAGCGATGGAAACATTTCTAGAGGGAAGCAATAACAGGGCAGTGTCGGAAACATATGTTAACAATGCGTCTTCGAGGTCACACTTCGTACTCACGGTTTACATACAAAAGGAACTCGACACCGGAGTCATTAAATCCAAATTGAACTTTGTTGACTTGGCTGGATCAGAAAGATTAGGGAAAGGTAGACTCAAAAATAAAGCTGCTGAAGAGGAAGCGAAAGATAATAATCGTTCGCTTCTTTTCCTTCGGGAAGTTATCGAGGCTACTGCAATATCCTCAGTGTTTAAACCACAAATCTTTCGCAACACATTGTTGACTAAAATACTGCGCGACAGCTTCACTGGCAAATGTGTTACTAGTTTAATAGCGACGATTAGTTCGGATGATGAAAACATTGAAGAAACAATTTCGACTTGTCAATTTGCACAAAGTGCGTGCAAAATTAAGGTAAAACCTAATCGTAATCAAACCGATGACTTGAAAAAGGTAAACTTAAAACTTCAAGAAGACAATGATCGACTTAGCGCACGCATAAGTGAGTTGGAGGCAAAAGTAGAAGAGCCAGAATTAACCAGTGAAAGGGAAAACAATTTAAAACAGCGTGTGTTCGAATTTTTCACAAACAATGACCCAAACGCAAAACTCGAGGTCGAAGATGTCAAAGAACATTTAAATTACTGTTTCCAAGAACTCAAAATACTTGGAAAAGATGATCGAAAATAGATATAATATCCAAATTCCATTGTTATTTTTTCACTCGAACCTAATATCTCGATCGAAAATGCTGTATCATGTATATCATTTTGTCCTTTCAAGATGTTATTTTACTTCAATTTCAGCAAAAATTGCCAAAGAATTTATATATATATATTATTACCGGGTTTAAAAATGTTTGTAACGCTTCTCAAACCGAAAAGTGATTATTAAAATCAATAGCAATAGCTTCTACCTTGCCTAATAATCCGGCCCTGACTATATCGGACCAGTTTGTACGCTTTAGCGTGTTTTACCGTTATGCATCGGCTATGGTTATTCAGCTTTATCATTATGCATATACCTATGTTAAGTCGTTTTATATTGCAAAAGTTTGCTTCAGAATAAAATCGTTTTAAAATAATTTTATAAAACTGTCATTTCTCTAATTTTATAATGAGGTTAATGAATATTATCCCAAATATTGACAGTTTGGAAGGTTGAAAAACCTAATTCAGATGAACTGAACAATTATACCGTAATAATGCCTTTATTTTTGAAAAAAAACAGAAAATACCCATATAAAGCTATACTGATTTATATAAGGAACGACGAATATAAGAATTAATACATTTTTACTATTTCGGATCTTTTTTTTTATCGCAGACCAGTTTATTTAAAAACGAAATTAATTTATTTTAAATTATTCTTTATTTATTAGTATTTGGCCATGTACACCATCTCTCGCGACTCAAACGGGTACGAGTACCTCGAATTTCTGGTGCCACGACGTTTTATCACAGTCTTCAACTACGATTTTATTGAGAATAGAAACTACCGTGGCATGAATTGCACATTATTATTGTGTGAACCACATAACATTTGTCTCGAAAAGGTAAAATTCAGACACCCTATCAAACCGGAATGATTGGGTTGTTAATTACAGATCGTTACATAGATTTTAAAACTGGTAGAATTCGAAACTTCTAACATAAATGTTCTTAGTTGTCTATCGGGTTTAATTTGGGATGATGAGTTAACTTTCGTTCGCATTTCGGGAGTTGGGATCGAGCGATAGCTTGAATAAGGTTTCAATAAACCGAGAGAGCGATACTTGTTTTTTGATGATCGATTTTTGAAATAAATTAAAGTACTAGCCTTCTAGCGAAAAACAGTTCGGTGGAAGGTCATTCTACCAGACCCATTGAAGAGACACGTTATGTAAAGGCAAGCTAGATAATTGTCACATTGCTTTTAACGCAAATGCCTTTTTAACCCGGTTCGATCGAACCCCCGGGATGAAGCTGTAACAGGAATTTGACAAAAATCCTCTGAAATACCTAGTCAATTGTGTAAAAATCCCGCGGATAACCAAACTTCCACGATGAGACCTCTCATAAAATAGAATGACTATGCATATTTTATACCTGGACAAAATATGCTAAAATTAAAAATAAATCGGATAACAACAATTTGACGCGGAACTACTGAAGGTCTTTCACAGAATTTATTGTTGTTATTTGTTTTTATGGCGCTCATAACTTCAGCGGTCTTTTGCGCCTTTGATCAATTCAAATTTAAAAATACTATACTAAAATATAATACAATATTTACAAATATATATAATCATACAATTGAATCAGGGGCGTAGCCAGAAATTTTCAAAGGGGGGGTTCTGAATTTTTTTTGCCAAATTAGATGGAAACTGCTAGCGGGTACGATCGAACGCTGGAATACGCGTGTTTTTAGTAGTCTAGGGGGTCATTTCAAGCTACGGAAAATTGCTATCTATGATACAGAAAAATGATTTTATTTTTTTTACATTTGAAAAAAAAAATGGGGGGGTTCGACACGCAAAACAACCCCCTGGCTACGCCACTTAATTGATTCAATTACAATAAGTAATTATTTCAAAACAGTTCTGCCCCTAGACAAAACAAATTCAATAACAGTGTCAATATTGTCCATGTTACTAAGCACTTCTTCCAAAGTCATTTCCAATTTAAGTTTTCTGACTTTGCTAATGACTGGGCTTCTTTGATGGTTATATCGTTGACAATGCAATATATAGTGGGCTACGGTCTCGGGTACAAAACACTGTTCGCAAAATCCGTCAGAATGACAGCCAATTTTATGTAATGTGCATTCAGGGCGCAATGACCAGTTTGCAGTCGGAATAAAAGAACTTGATATTTAATATAGAGATGTACCGATGTATCGGGTATCGGTAATATCGGCCATTTTTTCGGTACCGGTCATGTATCGGTATCATCTAAAATAATACAGATATCCGATATATTTACCGTTTTCATATGATCCAGAATGTTTTAAAAGATAAGTTAAAATACTACTTTTTGATTTATTTTTTGTCTGGAGAGATCTTGAACTATGGGCCATGCATGTCCCCATCCCCGCGAATAGTAACGGGAATAGGATTCACCTGTTTTTAAATATTTACTAGCTAAACTAGCTCAAATAATTTGGCTATTTTCGCTGCCAAATATTTATATTGACATTTTAATATTACATACTATACATAGTAATTATGAAAAAATATATCAACACAGCCTAGAAAAATGAGCAACTATAGGCGCCCAGTTTTAAATCATACAGTGGAATCGGAGTTCTTTTTTACAGCACATGTACTTTTTGGCTCGGCTATGAATTCTGACTATTTATCGTCAAACGCTGGGGTAATTTAGTCCATCGACGTCGTTAAACTAAATCCAACGCAATTATTCCCCTACGCAGGTATTAAATATTGCCTAAACTCAGTGGCGGCGCGTCAATAGGGCCAACCGGGGCAATGCCCCGGTTGTTTGTTCGGTATAATAAAAAATATTCGAAAAATACCTCAATATCGGTTGCACAGACTGTCTACACTAGCCATATTCTCCCGACATGGTTCATTTTTCGCTCGCAAAGCCTTCGCCGAACGTCGACGGGGCGACACCGATTTTGCCCCGGTTGCTCATTGTATATCGTATTCTCTCTTTTATCTTCCACTCGCCGCGTTTGTCTCGTTTGTTTTCTGTTTCTTTTACTAAATCATCGGGGGTCGATCGGGGCTAGCCCCGAAATTATGACGACACAATGCCGACGTTTCTTACAACAACGTGTTGACATATTCACGCATTCCTTCTCGTTCGTTGGTTGCTTGAAGAGTTGATAGTTTCCTCGCCTTCGTTTTTGTCGCTTGTTTCGCTATTTGAATCAGTTAGAGACCTTTAGTCCATTTGCTTTCGATTTTCCACATTCCTTTTGAGCTCCTCACTTCTTTCCGGCTTCGCATTTCTTAGCCTTAGACCTCATAATGAATAAGGTTGATGCACTACTTCGCACTCCGTTTTCGCAGCTGCCGCTGGAACAAAAATTAGAGGTACAACGTCTTGGGCCTTATCAACCAAAAAATTGTTCACTGGAACAATCCCATGACGGAGGAAAGCGTCGGCGTACATTCTGCGCAGAAACTTGGTATAAAAAACACGAATGGTTGTGTTACAGCGAGGACAAAAATGCACTTTTTTGTTTTTATTGCCTACTTTTTGCTACCGCCCGTGACTCACGTTGGTGTAAATTTGGTTTTAGAGATCTTAAACATCTTTCCGAGCGTGCCAGGGATCATCAATCTTCTATGGAGCATCTGGACAATGCAGTAAAATACCGAACATTCGGAAATGTTAATATTGCAGCACAGTTGGATGAAGGACGCGCGGTTTCTATTCGTCGGCACAACCAAAACGTCGAGAAAAACCGCCATGTTCTCGGTCGATTGATAGATGTTTTGAAGTTCATTGGTTGTCACGAGCTGTCCCTCCGTGGGCACGATGAACGGGCTGGCTCTTCTAATAGAGGGGTATTTTTGGATATGGTGGAATACACCGCATCCCTAGATACAGTATTGAGAGATCATCTTGATGCCGCAACTGTTTCGAAAGGGACATCTAAGGATATCCAAAATGATTTGCTCGACTCAATGTATAAAATTTATTTACAACATTTGGCTCTGGAAATTGAGAATTGCCAGTTCCTTTCGATTCAGTCTGACGAGACAACTGACATCACGTGCGTTTCCCAACTGGCTGTGATTTTTCGGTTTGTGAAAGATGGTAAACCTACCGAGAGATTTCACAGCTTTGTACCAATCGTTGATCGCACGGCTTGCGGGATATCGGCTGTACTGAAAGAAGTGTTACAGCCTTACAACGCGAAGTCAAAATTGATAGCTCAAACTTATGACGGCGCGGCAGTCATGAGTGGGTCGAAACATGGTGTTCAAGTTTATATAAAAGAAGATTTTCCTCATGCGCATTTTTTACATTGTTATGCACACCAATTTAACCTCGTTATTAAAAATATGTGTCTTGATACCCCTCTCGTCCGTATATTTTTTGCAAATGTTTCGGGGTTTTCTTCATTTTTTTCCGTTTCGCCGAAGCGCTCTGACCTCCTTCGCCAGATATGTAGCCGCCGTCTCCCAGCTTGTGCACCAACACGTTGGAACTTCCAATCACGCGTGGTGCAGGGCGTGTCCGAAATTAGGTCTGAGCTCATTGAGTGTTTCAATGGCATTCAGAGCTCTCCGGTTTGGGACGAACGCTCTGTGAGGGAGGCGGCAGGTCTAAAGCGTCTGCTAGAAGATGGTGAGTTTTCATTTTTTCTCCACAATATTCTATCACGTGGATGTATTATACGGCGCATTGCAGTCAAGGCTAATGGATGGAGCGTCTGTGCAGTCGTGTATTTCAGACTTCTGCGATGCTGTATCTCGTATCCGGGAAACAATAAAATACGACGACACATGGAGTGCTTCTTTACGCCGCGGGCAAACAACGCAGCGTTTGATTTTGTCTGCAAAGGAATGCTGTGACATTCTGGTGAATCAAATAGGCGATCGTCTGCGCACTGAACACCTTGCCGCGTTCTCTTTGATGAACCCCAAAAATTTTTCAAAATTTGCACGTCAATTTCCCATCCATTTGTTGGCTACTGTCTCCAAATTTTACCCCATGATAAACGTGGGTAAATTGGAAAATGAATTGCGATGTATATACACCAATCAAACTTTTTTGAACATCACATCAACTTGCGCGCTCTATGGGTTCCTCATAGATAACACTCTAGTAACTACCTTTGCGGCGTCTGCAAAATTTCTGGACATCATTTTGACGACGCCTATTTCTTCCGCCGACGCAGAGCGAACATTCAGCACGCTGAAGCGTATTAAAACGTATCTCAGAAACACAATGAAGCAAGATAGATTAAATTCCTTGGCTGTTTTATCCATTCACAGAGACGTTATTTCTGGGATGCATGACTTTAATCAGCGCGTTATTGAGCATTTTGCTTCCAAGAAACCGCGGCGTGTTGCATATATGTTCAAGCAGTAGAAGTCTAGCAGCATATATATCTATGAGTGAGCGACGCATGTCCTTATCTTTGCATTAACTTTCCTTTCTTCATAGTAACGTTTTAAACCTTATTTTAGGTTTTGTCTGCTTTCCCGAAGTTTCTGTTAATATGTCATTGTATTTATCTGGGTAAATATTGCCTTTCCTTTTGAAAGAGGTTTCAAAATAAACTATGTCTATATTTATTAATCCCTTGACTTGGACCGGTTT